TTTAAAGTCTTTCTAGCTGATTTTAAGTAGCTTTTTTGGGTTAAAAAAATTTCGATAACCAATTTTTAAAGTTTAATCGTTTATTATTTAAAAAAAATAGGAACATAATCATTAAAAATGAAAAATTTTAATGGTTTTTCATTCAAAAAAAAGTTTTGAAGACTAAACCGTTCAAAATTAGAAAGTTCAATGATTTTTTCATTTAAAACAGAGAAATTATTAAACATAACCATAATGTTTGTTGGAAGATTTTAAAATTTAATCCTGCACTTAAAAAAAAAATCTGTTGGAGATGTGTTTTCGGAATACTATATTTGGTGGAGATGATTTTGCGGAGGACTATATTTATTTATTTCTCGTTTATTTTATATCTTTTTGAAGAAGATTTTATTATATTATGAAAATTGCAGGGAATTACAAAAGCAGCACAATTTGATTCATTTTGTATATGCATTTGGTTACGATCATCATGAATGCTCTCACTGCCACAAATCGAAACTTTCGTCATGCTGCTCGTCTGCTTGGACTAGATTCTAGACTCGAGAAGAGTCTGTTGATTCCGTTTAGAGAAATCAAGGTTATGAAATTGATTTTTTTTTTTATTTTTGATTATGGTTTTGATGTGATGTTTGGAATATCTTCGATCAGGTGGAGTGCACGATCCCCAAGGATGACGGAACTTTGGTGTCGTATGTTGGGTTCAGAGTGCAACATGATAATTCTCGTGGCCCCATGAAGGGAGGAATCAGATATCATCCTGAGGTGATTTCATTCATTTTTTGACATTTGTTTATGTCTCATTGATTGTTCTTGGTGATAGTGGAGATTTGGGGCTTCAGATTTTGGATCGTCTCTGCAATTCAACAGTTATTTCACTTGATTGATTTTGGTGCTAATTTATATTTGTGATTTTCATATATTTTGGGGTGAACAATTGGATGAGAAATATCGGTAAATGTTGTTCAATTGCACTATGAGCTTTATGGATTGTACCCTTTTTTTTCAATTGCACTATGAGCTTATATGGATTGTACCCTTTTTTTTGTCAGTTTGAATTTCATTAGCCTCTATTTTTTGCTTGTTTTTAACTTAATAGGAAGCTACAAGTTTTTGCTGCAACATATCGAAAAAGAGATTTAGTTGGTATTTTCATGTCAAATTCGTGTATTTTATGCAGCAATAAATGAATGTATGAAAATTGGTTGATATGGTTTTTACAAGGTTGACCCTGATGAGGTAAATGCCTTGGCTCAACTAATGACTTGGAAGACTGCGGTAGTGGACATTCCTTACGGTGGCGCAAAAGGGGGGATCGGGTGCACACCTAAGGAGTTAACTAAGAGTGAGCTTGAACGTCTTACCCGTGTCTTCACACAAAAGATTCATGATCTTATTGGAGTAAACACTGACGTACCCGCACCAGATATGGGCACCAATGCGCAGGTTCTTACTTTCAATATCAATGATTAGAATAAACTAGGATCATAGTAAATGCATGGTCTAACAATTTGTCAAAACCATGTTCATTTGGAATTGCTTCTTATTATATATCATGAATGAAGTCTGATTTCTTCTATAATAGAAATTAGATACAAAAAGATAAGAGAGGCCTACGTGTTAGATTGCTTTGATATGCAATGTACAACATGTGCGTGTTATATTGCTTGGATATTTTGTTGAAAAACGGAACTACACATGTTGCATAAAAATTGAAAATTTTGGATTTTGACAGACTATGGCTTGGATTTTAGATGAATATTCGAAATTCCATGGTCACTCGCCAGCCATTGTCACTGGAAAGCCAATAGTGAGTATTTAATGAAGATATGACATACTTATATTTCAATATATGATTTATAACCAACCAACCAACCTCTTGTTGATTACTACTAGGATCTTGGTGGATCGCTGGGAAGAGAATCTGCAACTGGGCGTGGTGTTGTTTTTGCCACAGAGGCCTTACTTGCCGACCATGGCAAGTCTGTCAAAGATATGACTTTTGCTATTCAGGTACTGTTTTCATTTGTGGAGCTTCGAATTTGCTTATGTGATGCTGTAAGTTACGAGCTAGAGTTGACTTAGGGTTTTGGGAACGTGGGATCTTGGGCATCAAGGCTGATTCACGCAAGGGGTGGTAAGATTGCTGCGGTGAGTGATGTGACTGGAGCAGTGAAGAACCCGAATGGTATTGATATACCATCATTGCTCAAACATAAAGAAAAAACCGGAAGCTTAAGTAATTTTAATGGAGGAGACTCCATGAATGCAGATGAATTACTAGGTTACGAATGTGATGTACTTATACCATGTGCCTTAGGTGGCGTTCTCAACAGGTATCATTTACGCTTACTTTTTTGCTTATCTTTATCTCAAATTTACATATATATACTCAAGTTCTAATCTTTTAAATAGATAGATATATGGTGAGTTAGAAAACAGAATTTAGTGCAGAGTAAAAATGTGTCAATTTAATGATGATGGGTTTGAAGTATATTCCAGAAAGGAAATGTTGAAATTGAAGTCTGATTCCATTTGTTTGTTGAATTAATTGTCCATTGAAGAGAAAATGCAAGAGAAGTGAAAGCCAAGTTCATCATAGAAGCTGCAAATCATCCTACTGATCCTGAAGCAGATGAGGTACCATTTTCATTTGATTATTTGATTCTAAAAAACTATGCATATATTTGTTTTCTTGTTTATTGAAATATATTCTTTTTTTGGATAAGATATGTTGTATTTCTACAGGTTCTGTCAAAGAAAGGAGTTATAATCCTTCCTGATATATATGCAAATGCTGGAGGTGTAACGGTTAGCTACTTCGAGTGGGTTCAGGTATTCAAATTAAGTTTCCGCTTCATACTACATTATATCTTGAATCCTTGTAGATAAAATTGGAGCATTATGTACATTTTTAGCCAACAAATTCTCTTTTTTGGTACGAAATTTGATGGGGGTATGTGAATTTGCAGAATATTCAGGGATTTATGTGGGATGAAGAGAAGGTGAATGATGAACTAAAGAAATACATGACGAAAGCTTTCCATGACATCAAGAGCATGTGTGAGACGCACGAGTGCAACCTTCGCATGGGAGCCTTCACATTGGGAGTCGATCGTGTTGCACGCTCTACTATCTTAAGAGGATGGGAGGCTTAATTACAATTAGCTAAACAGAATTCTTGATAGGTTTGTACTTTATCTATAACTACAACACAGAATAAATTTGAAACCATGGGTTTGATTTGATTTGGTGCAAGTATCTAATGCATGTGTTTGTCAAATCTGAATATTTGGAATCGTATTTGTATTTTTAACTTTCATCTCCTAACCTTTCTAATTTCTACATTCTTTAATTTGCAACACTTTTTATTGGAAAAAAAATGCTATTCTATTAGCAATCATATTTCAAAACATATAATCTATTTGTAACACCTAATTTGATGTCATAATACGTGTATCGTAGAGAGATTTGATGTTATTGATAATGTTTACCTATACAGTACTCGATGCTTGATATTTCAAGATCTTTGCGTTGCGTATGAGCTTACTGAGCGGAAAGTTGATCCAATCATATATCTTAGGGTCTAATAAGGTGAAAGCGAGCATGGTGCTTCAAGTCAACTACAACTTACTAGCAGAAAAAATCCTAAAGTTGCATTCAAAGGTATGGAATAGTTATGAGCTCATTGGTATGTTGATTAAGAACTTTGATATGTACATCGAAACAGTGACATCGATCAAGAGTTTTTACATGTACAGCTAACATGGATTTTTTTATATATAGATGTCAACGTAAAAGCTAACATGCAATTTGATTATCATAAAAATCAGTCATGTTTTAAATTCTTTATAGATATTTCTCTTGACAACAATTTACGAATCTGTTTTTTATTATTAGAAGAGTCACATTTTAAGCATTTGTTACCCGTAATCGTTAGAAGCAGAAACATTTTTAAAAAATTTGACATTGAAAACTAGTCACATTTTAGGAGATTGTTTTGTCATTTAATTAAGATATTTGTCGTTATAATAATTATACATTAAATGTTTCCAAGGCAAAAGGATCATATTTTAAAAAAAATATAACATCTAAAAATTAATCACCTTTTATATATTTATCATAATAAAAACCAATCTTGTGTTTAAAAAGAGTTCATTTTTTATTACATAAAAGTAAGAGAAAAATGAAGTGAGAAAAAGAGAGTTGCAAAACAATGTAGAAATTGGAAAAGATATATATATATATATATATATATATATATATATATATATATATATATATATATTTATGTAACTCTTATTAAAATAAAACAGGATTTCAAAGATAAAAGATGAAAAACATAAAAATATTAGAAACATAACTGGGTCGGAGTTCAAGTACTCATAACAAACCTCAAGAAAATAGAATATCCTTTCAAGGCTGGTCTCTTAATCGCCTCCATGAAAAATCATTTGACATTCCTCTAGTTAATCTATCGCAGGTTAGGGAGGGGGAGGCTAGGTCTCGATATTCTCTTTTCTTCAAGTTTTTTTGAGTATCTTTTTTACCGAGAACCCTGATCCTCGGTTCCTATCCCGTCAGGCAATAAGATCTCATCCCTAATCAGGGGACGGAGATTTTATCCCGTTTACAAAATCTAATCTTTTATGTAATATGTCTATATATTATACATATAAATTCTAATTTCAAGTTTAAACGTCATATTATTCTAGAATTTTAATAAACCAAACTTTAGTTGTTGTCTTTGTACAAAAATACTATCAACCAACCTAGTTCAAACACAAATATATCAATTATAATATTTGATAATCGGAATTTTGTACAACCAGTTGATTATATCAACAAAAGTTTCTCCTCGAACAATAAACCATTAATGATTACATATACAAGTTTCAAATTATTGAAGATTAATTGTAACATATTTTGTTTGTCTTTCAAAAGATGAAATGATCACAAATAAATCTGCGATTACATCAATTTCTAGTGTGAGAACATACACAAAACAAGCAAACCATTCCAAAATTTCAGATTTCACAAACAAATACAGTAAAGACTTGCGGTAAAAGAAGTAGATCAAACCATGAATTCCAAGCACCAAATGTCATTATCCCTCCCTCCAATGGTTTCAAATTTGTTTTGTGTTGTGTTGTGTTGTAATTTATAGATAAAAAGAAATCTATCAAGAGTTTTGCTTAAATAAATGTTGGTAACAATGGTATATCCTATAAATAACCTAATTAAGCCTCCCATCCTCTTAAGAGAGTAGAGCGAGCAACCCGATTGACTCCCAATGTGAACGCTCCCATACGAAGGCTGCACTCGTGCGTCTGACACATGCTCTTGATGTTATGGAAAGCTTTCGTCATGTATTTCTTAAGTTCATCATTCACCTTCTCTTCATCCCACATAAATCCTTGAATGTTCTGCGAATTCAAACAAACCCATCAAATACCCGAAAGAAGAAAATTTGTTGAATCTCAATTACAAGAAATGACCCAGTTTTTTTTACAAAGATGAGTTTTTTTCTTTTTAATACCTGAACCCACTCGAAGTAGCTAACAGTCACACCTCCAGCATTTGCATATATATCAGGAAGGATTATAACTCCTTTCTTTGATAAAATCTGTAGAAATACAACATATATTTTATATTATCAAAAGAAAAGAAATATATGCATAGTTTTTTACACATCAAAGAATTAAATGAAAACGGTACCTCATCCGCTTCTGGATCAGTAGGATGATTTGCAGCTTCTATGATGAACTTGGCTTTCACTTCTCCTGCATTTTCTCTTCAATGGACAATTTCAACAAAGAAACAAAATCAGAACAATGAAGGTTGCAAAATGTCAACATTTCCATTTTAGCATACTTCAAAGTCATTATCATTACTACTACTCGTGCTAATGAGTTCACTCCATAAAATTCCTAAATTCTTGTTATTATGGGAGGGCAGTTAAGGCATTTGACATATAGGACAACAATTTCATAAAACTATTGCATATGGGATTCTCTCATATAACCTGAAGGCCAAAAGTTTGAATCTCACACTTGGGGAATGAATTGCATGGGGCTCGTATAGATGTTTATTAAATATTATTCCATCTTGCACCGATTGTAATCACCATCGGGTAAATTTATAGAAATGTTCTATTTGAGGCATTATGCCAAATTACCACAATGACGGCATACTTATAGCTTTCCACTAGAAAGACCATTAGATTTGTAACATGATACAAAAATTCTTTCCATCACAAGGGTACCCCTCCTCTTGTTATCAATTGCTGAGTACACTTTCTAGAATTGGATATGGATTTATGACCAAAACTTGTAGTGAGTTGTAACATGTTGGCAGAATTTCCTCAAGAATTAGAAGAATTGATATGAAAATGTGAAGCCTGAAATCAGCCTTTTGACCTCAGAAGTCAAACTATCCACAAAAGTGAGAATAAATCTACTGGATAATTGAGAAATTTAATTGATCCTTTTTTTGATCTCAAGATCTCAAATGGGATGTTTACCGATTGACGCATTCATAATCCACAAAAGCGAATCATTTTTACTCTGCATTAAATTCTGTTTTCTAACTCTCCATCCATCTAAAACATTAGAACTTGAGTATCAATTTGAGATAAAGCAACAGAAGAAGTATGCTTAAATGGTAAATGATACCTGTTGAGAACACCACCTAAGGCACATGGTATGAGTACATCACATTCATAAACTAGTAATTCATCTGCATTCATGGAGTCTCCCCCATTGAAATTACTTAAGCTCCCAGTTGTTTCTTTATGCTTGAGCAATGCTAGTATATCAATACCATTGAGGTTCTTCACCGCTCCAGTGACATCACTCACTGCAACAATCTTACCACCCCTTTCTTGAATCAGCCTTGATGCCCACGATCCCACATTCCCAAAACCCTGAAATATTAAGTCAACTCTAGATTGTTAACTTACACAATAACATAACATAAAGTCAAAGCTCGACAATGAACAATACCTGAATAGCAAAAGTCATATCTTTGATAGACTTGCCATGTTCCGCAAGTAAGGCTTCTGTTGCAAAAACAACACCACGGCCAGTTGCAGCATCTCTCCCCAGCGATCCACCAAGATCCTAGTAGTAATCAAAGAGAGGTTGGTTAAAAATCATCTAGCTATAAAGTGAAATATAGCATGCGATATCTTAATTAAATACTCACTATTGGCTTTCCAGTGACAATAGCTGGCGAGTGACCATGGAATTTCGAGTACTCATCTAAAATCCAAGCCATAGTCTGTCAAAATACAAAATTTTCAATTTTATGCAACATTTAATCAGTTCAAATCCATAAAATAACCCAAATCTATGCACACTTAGTTCTGTTTTTCAACACACATGGTACAAGTGTAATGCAGTTCAATATCCAAGCAATTTAACACGTAGGGGTCTCTTTATCTTTTCATATCTAATTTCTATTGTAAAAGAAATCAGACTTCCTTCATAATATAATAAGACGCATAGCAAATGATCATGGTTTTAGACAAATTGTTAGCACATGCATTTACCATGATCATAATTTATTCTGATCATCAAAATTGACAGTTCGAACCTGAGCATTGGTGCCCATATCTGGTGCCGGTACGTCAGTGTTTACTCCAATAAGATCATGAATCTTTTGTGTGAAGACACGAGTAAGACGTTCAAGCTCACTCAAGGTCAAGTCCCGAGGTGTGACCCCAATCCCACCTTTCGCGCCACCATAAGGAATGTCGGCCACTGCAGTCTTCCAAGTCATTAGTTGAGCCAATGCATTTACCTCATCAGGGTCAACCTTGTAAAAACCATATCAACCAATTTTCAGATAAATTTATTTATTGCTGCACAAAATACAAAATTTCCCACAAAATTCACATGGAAGTGCAAACTAAATCTCTTTTCTATATGTTGAAGCAACGACGTTTAGCTTCCTAATAAGTTAAAAATAAGAAAAAATTGGAGGTTCATGCAATTCACGACAACCCCACCATTGACAAAAAAGGTAAAATACATAAAATAACCCCACCGTTGACAAAAAGCCAAAAAGGTGCAATCCATAGTCTCATAATGCAATTGAATCAATGACCCCCAACATTAACCGAGATTTACACATCCGATTGTTCACCCTAAAATATATGAAATCACAAACGCAAATTCGCACTGAAAATCAATAGATCAAGAGAAATTACTGTTCAATTGCAGAGATGTTGCAAAATCTAAAACCCCAAATCTCCATTACCACTAAAAACAAGCACATGACACATAAACAAACATCAAAAGATGAATCGAATCACCTCAGGATGATATCTGATTCCTCCCTTCATCGGTCCACGAGAATTATCATGTTGCACTCTAAATCCAACATACGACACCAAAGTTCCGTCATCCTTCGGGATCGTGCACTCCACCTGATCGAAAATCCAAACATCACATCAGTACCATTATCAAAAATAAAAACAAAAACAAAAACAATCAATTTCATAACAAATTACTAATTCCAAGCACCTTGATTTCTCTAAACGGAATCAACAGACTCTTCTCGAGTTTAGAATCAAGTCCAAGCAGACGAGCAGCATGACGAAAGTTCCGATTTGTTGCAGCGAGAGCATTCATGATGATCGTAATCCCAAAATGCAGAAACAAGATTATGGAAAAAGTAAAATAGCAATGCCGTTTTCGAAGATGATCTTGAGAAGAAATCGAGATGTTTCAACAATGTCCGGATTTGAAGGCATATATATACAGGTCTTTAACCCTCAACGTCAAGGGCTTTTCCTCTTTCTTCTTTGTTATTTAATTTTATTTGTAATTGGAAAATTCATCTGACTAGATTCTGATTCATAGTTGGAGGGATAATCACGCGACCCGGATTGCGTGATCCACTTTGATGGAAATCATGGAATTCAAAAATATTATATTTTATTGTTATTTATTCTATAATACAATATATTTTTTATTTAAAGGCAAGTAATAATATCACAAAATAATATATATCTATATCTATATTATATTATAAAGCATTTGAAAAAACTTTTAAAGGTCATTTTTTACGTATGAAGTAATGTTTATTGATATATATTACTAAAAATTTATTATTACAAGTTAATTGTGTATAACTATAACTTATTAAAGCTCCACATTTGAATTCATGCAACTAACTATAGATAAACATAATTAAATATTAGATAAACATCTCATTTTAAATATAAAAAATCTAAAATATAATTAAGATAATTATTGAGTTATAACAGAATATTTAATTATTATCTATATAAAAATTATATTATTAAACCTAAATTAAATTTCTTTGTTAGTAAATCTAAATTAAATTATAATTTAAAATTTTGAATTAAGAAAATTACACCGAAACACAAGAACTTTTAAAAATATTAATTTGAATTGATATCGATATAATTTTTTTCAAAATTTATGATATTTTCAAATTTATATTTTATTCAAAAATAAAAACATTTTCGTTTTTTTCAAAACCACATAAAATTGTATTATATTGACATAAAAATAAGAATAAAACAAAACACTGAAATCAAGATGTGTCTCGATGCAATGCACGAATACCCTTCTAGTATATATATATATATATACACACACACACACACACACAGAGAGAGAGACACACACACACTATATTATAAAGCATTTGACAAAAATTCTTAAAAATCATTTTTTATGCATAAAGTACTATTTATTAATACATGTTACTTAAAACTCAAGATTACAAGTAAATTGTGCGTAAGTATCACTTATTAAAGCTTCATATTTAAATTCGTGTAACTGCAGATAAACATAATCAAATACATGAGAAACATCTCATTTTAAATATAAAAAATTTAAAATATAATTAGAATAATTATTGAGTTCTAACAGAATACTTAATTATTATCTTTATAAAATGTTATATTATTAAACCAAAAATAAATTATTTTAT